GTTTTTTATCTCACCCTGCATAGATAATTTTTTTTTCAGGGGGTTAAGTACTCAGAAAGAACTCCTTGTGGAGAATTTCAGACAATTTCATTGAAAAATTTGGCTAAAATCTGCCCCCGTTATTTGGGGCTATACGATATCGTAGACCGATATAGCCCATCATCGAACATGACCTGCCTGCTGACAAAAAAACTGATCTGTGCAAAATTTCAGCTTCCTGTCTTAATTCGTTTTGATTTTAGCGTGATTATAACTGAGAGACAGAGCTGAATTGTCTTAGCCTGACTATTTTGCAACAACTTAGAAGTTTATGCTGATGAAGAATACACATACTTTGTTAGGTCAAAAATTATTACTTCGATGGGTCACAAACGGAATGATTATATTAATATACCCTCCATATTATGTATGGTGGAGGGTATAAAATAGCATAAAAATCTTAAAAAAAATCTTTTTATGCTATTTTATATATATGATATATATATGATTCAAATTCCAAGAGGAGAAACTGCTATATACAAAAATGCAGACGTATACATAGTATTTTCTTTTCTTATAGCGAACTTTAAATTCAATGTTGTAGGCAATTCCATTATTGAGGTGTTACAAGAAAACATTGGCCCATATGTACAACTATGCATAATACATTTTGAATTGCTTTAATTAAATTTCAACAGAAGTATAGATCTAATATTAAAAAGAGTTTTTAAAAGCATTTACTTTAAATACCCAGGTCAATATTTCATTTTTTTGCGTGTAATTTTTTCACACTTACATAACCTGCCTTTTATCGTTCGTATAGGAATATTATATTTACAGATGAGGTGGTTGTGAAGGGATTTATTTTGTAAGAAAATATATATATATATATATATAAATTATTTAACATCAGGATAACCTTACAGGCAAATGGAGACATTCCTTTTTAACACCAGGTGCGGCAGTAATAAAATTCATGGTAAACAACAACAACAACAACTGGCCAAATTTTTTAATTGCCATCCCCAATGAAAATCATTTATGGGGACAAATAACTTTGCGTTTTAATGACAGTACCTTATTTTCATCACAACGCTGCTTAACACCAATTAACATTTCCAAAATGGACACGAATATGCCGAACACACAGCCCACAATTGTTACCAAGAAAACACCACCCAAATTGCTAAATTCCAAGGCCACAGCTCCACTTTCCGATGTTCCAGCCTTAGATTTAAAAATTTGGTTATTGTTTTTTTTTTTTTTTTTTTTTATTGAATGAAATAAAATAGAGTCCGTCGACATGGATTTAAATATTTCCGATGAACAAATTACATAGGAACTTGTCTGTTTCTATCATTATCCTTGCTTAATGTTTCGAAAGAGAAAAAGAAGAAGAAGAAAAAACACACACACAAAGACAGACAGACAGTGAAAAGCAATCCAAAACTTACCGCACAAGCACCGCCGCCCCGTTTCTCTTTCCACCATTTCGTTTTCATTTTAGCCAATACGCCTTGTTCCTGCAACTCCAGTACTGCTTGGCTAAGAATGTTACGATAGGGCCAATCTAGTGAATACAAAAAAAAAAAAAAAAAAAAAAGAGTATAGCTCGTTATAGCTGTTGTATCTAAAAAGGTTTAAAGGATTACATTTCATTTCAATGAAAAAGTGAATAAAAGTTTTTTGGAACATAGGAATTAGAATTTGCCAATAACTTTCGTAACGGATTGGTGATTTGATTACAGTGTGGTAGGAACTCAGATTGTATGAATCACGTTTTGCTCAACAAAGACATTTAACCTAGAAATTAAATTAATTCATTCTTTTTTATTGTGATGAGTATGGGTTAGTGCGCATCATATGAGTAGCCAGAAATGCCTGCCGAGACGAGATAAAAATTAGATTTTACGAATCAACTGTTCAGAGCTAAAACAGCAGAGATATGTATCGACGCTTTGAAAGCTTACATCGGAAATTAAACACACAGGGAACAAGTCATCTGTCCACATTTTTAGAAATTTTATGATTAAGATTACTCGTGCATTTTAGGTGTATAGTCGGCAATAGTGCAGATAACAATACGAGGAAAATTTTGGTCCGAAATTTTAATCCTCAAGCGAGTCAACAATGCACAGTGGTCGCTGCCATTGGCCAAAATTCAAAAAATGAAAATCAGATATTTATTGTCAAATGTGTACAAATGAACTCTTAAGGGGTTAAGCTTTTTAGAAAACATAATAATCTTGGCATCATTCTAACGGGCATCATTCTAACGGGACACTTCGAAAATAGCATCAAAAAAGAGAAAATGTAGTTAGTTGTTTTTTTCAGTGGGATCAGAGAAAAAGTGGAGTAAAAATAGAACTGTATTACAAAATTAAATACATTTTAAAATTACAAATCTTGGCATTATTATTGAAAAGCAAGGTATTAACTTATTTTTAGTGCAGTAATTTTTGTGTTTAGTATATGTGTATAACATAGAAGATGTGAGTGTTCTGAGTTGCCTTTAAGATTAATTTTGAAAATAAAATTGGATTTCAGTTAAAGTTTTAATTGTTTTCCCCCCTGAATCCTCCAATGTGATTTTTTTCACGCCATTAGTAATGGTCCTAAGATTCAAGAAGTGCTAATTTAACTTTCAGATTTTGTCAGATTTGTATGTTATGCCCAATATACTGAAGTGACTTCGCTCCAATTTTGTCAGTTCTATGGTGCTAGTGACATAGAATATGTTTTTGTTGTTTGGGATTGATAAGGATGTAATTGAGGGGTGTTCAATAATGTTGCAAGCATTGTCCTCTGGGTATAATATTTATGTCGAAAAATTTAAGGCCTTTGCACTGGAAACAGCTAAAGAGTTAACAAATTTATATCTATGGCACTATCATCCAAGTTTCGACTAAATCATGCCCGAAAAAATTCTGGTGTTTCAACAAACACAGATCTTATTAACCGCCTTCTTCTGAGCTCTGACCCTTTTATAATGGGACAGCGAACCTTAGCAAACAATAACCAGTAAAGAAAGTCTTAAAGTCGAGCGGGGCCGACTTCATGATACCCTACACCACCTTGCATATTTAGTAGAGCGTCACATAACAAATAAAGGTTTTAATGGGGAATTTGTGAGAATTAAATCATACCAACAATGATTATAGTAATAATTAAAAGTCCAAAGGAACTAATATATGGGAGGAATATACTCCTCTGAATCGAGTTCTATTAAATTTGTCGAGGCATTTGCGCCTTTTCAATTCGGGCTTGTATTATCCATTTGGTGCACAATTAACTTGAATTCGGATAGATATATATGAGAGCTCTATCTAAATTTGATTTGGGCTAATATAATGCTAGGAACACAATTGGAGCGAACGACGAATTTTTTCGCGGCGTATGTTCGTCGTTAAAAATAAAACACATATGTGTATATGGAAGTGCACACAATCACGGCACCGGCGAAAATTTCGTCGGTCGCCGCGAACTCAATTAGCTTTATTTCTATTTCATACGCCGGCGACCGGCGAACAAAACAGTACAAGGTGGCCATACTTGTACGAATTTTATATGTTTTAGTAAATAAAGTTACTTTTTACTTTAAAATTTGTTATGGTCACTCTACTATCTGTTACTCGTATAAAAAAAACATAATTAATTTGTTTATTTATTTGTGTACTTGCGCCTGAGTGAAGATGGATATCAGTGAATTTATAATAGAGAAGATGGACATAAGTGAAATTATAATAGAGAACGTAAAGAATTATGTGTTCTTGTATAATTCATTGTAGTCAACAAATGAGCAAAAAGTAAACAACTTCATCAGCTGTTTTATAATTTCGTCGGTATTGTGTTCCATACGACGAATTTTCGCGGCTCATTTTGTCGCCGCGTAGGGCGAAATTCGTCGTTCGCTCCAATTGTGTTCCTAGCATTACACGTTTGGTGCACAATAAAAACCAAATCGGACGAAGATATATATTTGAGCCATGTCCAAATATTAACAGATCTCGATAAAATTTAGAAAGGGTATTTCTGAGTTATATTTGATATATTTCCCCAAATATCGTTGTCACAGAGTGCATATTACGGCTGCGGAGGACAAAAATAACAAATCGGATGAACAATATATATGGGAGCTATAGCTATATCTGTACCGATTTCGATCAAATTTGGCATACTTATTTTCAGGTCCCATCTGGTCGTACGTATATTCCATACTATTTGGGCACAATATAAGGCAAATTGGATGAATATACATGGGAGCTATACCTAAATTTTGACCGGTTATATCCAATTTCAATAACTAATTATTTGTGAAAAATTTATCTTTGATTTAATTTTACATTAAATTGTTATTTTATTTTGTTTTCAAAAAATAATCAAATTTGGACTTGATTTGTATAAAAAATGCTTCTATTTTTGGAGGTACCTTACAAGGGACTCTACCTTATGGCGGGCTGTTCCAAATAATTTTCAGTAAGATTATTTTTTAGCTCCTTAGAACGTAAAATGTCAAATAACATTACAATCTGGTGTAGAAATGTGACAAGAATTGGGCAAATAACCCTTATTCGGGAGGTACGTTATATGGGGACCATGCCAAAACATGCATCGACCATATCCATTTTGTAACATTTTTTATATTTATCCCATCAATGTACCATAACCAAAGATTCATATTGATATCTGCACTGAAAGTACTTTTGGCCGCTGTTCCCATACGACCTCGACCACTGTGCAATGGGGGCTTTTTTGTCCTTTTTATACCCACCTGACCACGTATTATGTCTTTGTGCATTTGTTTGTAACAGGCAAAAGGAACCGAGATAGACCCATACTTCCTTTTGATGATCTGCATAAAATCACATTCTGATTTGTAAACTAAGTACAGGTCTCATTTATTGCCATATAAAATAAACTTTACCAAACGTTTGCAATCGTTTTGTTTCGTATTTTCTTGAATTACGAAATGAAACAAAACCGATATTAACATAGAGGGACTTTTTTTGTATTTTGTACTGTTTGCGTAGATGAGTGGAAACAAAAACAAAACTGAAATGTACGCTGCTGGATGACGCAACATAGGAAACGAAACAGTACAAAACTCATTGCAAACGTTTGCAAATGTTTCCCTGTATATTAACTCATTAAAAATAAAGTAAAAACCAATACTAATTTAAATGCATGCCTTTTTATTTATTTATTACTTCCATCATACAATGGAAACAGTCTAAACGTTTGGAAACGCTTCCCGGCGATTCGTTCGGAAATCGTATTGTTTGTGTACTTCTGGCAGTGAAATGTTTGTGGTATTGTTTTGTTTGAAGTAATTTTAAAGTTTGTCACTTCGTGTGAGCAGTACGTTATTCGTTTCGTTTGATTTCGTTCGCTGTCCAAATAAGGCCTGAAAATAAAAATGCCAAATTCGATCAAAATCGGTTCAGATATAGCTATAGCTCCCATATATATTGTTCATCCGATTTGTTATTTTTGTCCTGCGCAGCCGTAATATGCACTCTGTAACAACGGTTTTTGGGAAAATATATCAAGTAGAGGTCAGAAATACCTTTGCCAGATTTTATCGATATAGGTTTAGATTTGGATATAACTCCGATATTCGTCGGATTTGTCTTTTATTGTGCACCAATCGTGTAATATTAGCCCAAATCGGATGAAATTTGGCACTTACGACCAAATTGAGCCTAGAAACATGTTTGGCAAATTTGTTGGAGATCGGTTCAGATAAAGCTATAGCTCCCATATGTATTGTTCATCCGATTTGTTATCCACAGCTGTAATATGCACTTCGTAACAAAAATATTCGGGGAAATATATCAAATACAGCTCAGAAATAACTTTGCCAAACTGTATCGAGATCGATATATTTATACGATTTCATGTTAATTGTGCGCCAAATAATTAATATAAGCCCGAATTGAAAAGACACAAATGTCTCGGTAAATTTAGTAGAAATCGATTCAGAGGAGGATATTCCCCCCATATATTAGTTTATTTGGACTCTAAATTATAACAATAATCATAGTTGGTATGATTTTATTCTTATACATTCCCCTTAAAAACTTTTATTTGTTATGTGAAGCTCTACTAAATATGCGTGTGGTGTAGGGTATCATAAAGTCAGCCCCGCCCGATTTTAAGACTTTATTTACTTGTTTAATATGATTTAAAACTTCCTTAAAATGGGATCACAGGAAGTCAAAGTACTCAACAAAATTATTTTTCATAAAATTTTACTAAGGAGACATCAACAGTATATACCTTACCTAAACGCCAGGAATTCATAAATATTAAAAACAAATGTTAGGGTTAAAGCTATAATTGACGTCAAAGGCAAAAAATATTTTTCATGAAATCTTACTATTAGTCACCAAAGAAAAGAAATCTCAAAAAGGCAACAAAAATCTGGGTTCTTAAGCCAAATGTTATTCTTTGAATATTTTTTAATAAATAATCCTCCATTGTATTAGTTCAAAGTTCCTAGCAATGACGTCAATATGACTGTCGATTTCATATTTCCCCTTAACCGATTGATTTGAAAACAAAAAAAATTTATATTCCGGTCGCTATTCTAAGACCACACCACATGTGAATCTTTGACAATAATTGCAACCCTTGACATCGAAGAACCCTCGATTGAATGAAGCCTTATATGCTGTAATTAAAATTCACCTAACGAGGCACATAACCGTCATTTTAAAGTTTGTTTGGCGTTTTAGCACAACGATAGAATTAACCCTTTCGTTACCAGTAGCAGTGGCATCTGGCAAATTGTAAATAAAAAAAATTAATTGTTTTAAAAGTTTCATCCAGTGCACTTTTTGCAATTGACCACTTATTGATATTTACCCTTTTTTGGTGACAGTCATGATTATTATCTATATATGTAACTCACAGATCTATTCAGCGCCCAGACTAAAGAGCTGATGCCTTGGTTCGTAGGCGTGTTACAAGGTGGAGTTTTTGGAAATAGAATACTATATATTGGACAAACGGAATAAGCTAAGATTTAAATTGAAATTTAGAATGGGAGTCAATGATGGAGTGCAGGATAGATGTACCAAAGGGTTTTTGGAAATTTAAACTGAAAGATTACGAAAAGTTCCAAAATGATACTACTTTGTATATGTGGAAGCTGAAATTTGGAATTGGAGAGTGCCTGTTTGTGGTTGGGTTGTGATAAAGGGGTGATTTTGGAAATGGGTACTACAAATGCACGAAAATGACCATATTTAGTACAATTCGGTATTAGGTGAATGGATAGAGCTGAAATCTTAAATTTGATAGAGATGTCACTATTAGTGTCTGTGGTTAATATAGGAATGTGGTTTTGGAAATGTTTACTATAATTGATAGAAAAGTACTAAGGGGTACTAAATTCAGGATGGTGAGATGACGGTGAGATGAAAAATAAATGAACTAAATTATATTGAAGTCAGCTCACATTTGGATATATAGGATTGCCCATATTCGACGAACCTTTGGGCCCATTCCAATCGACGAGGCTTGTCCGCAGGCAACATTCTTTGCGTCAATTGAATTTTGTACGGTAACAAATGCAAATCAATGCGAATAATCCGTTGTAAAGTGGACCGAGCCATGCCCAACTGCTGAGAACGGCGTTTTTGGGATCTTCTTGGGGACCTCTAAACACTGGCTCGTACGGCAGCGATATTCTCGGCCGATCGCCTTGGTCGACTTTTATATGGCCTTTTCGGATTAGAAAGAGCCTTACCAGTCGAAAATTTTTCGTATAAACGCTTTATGGTGTTCTTAGAAGGCGCACTTCTCACATTTTTTAATGTTTTAAAAGCACGTTGAGTTTTCACAATTTACTTCTTCTGTTGAATGTAAATTTCAAGTATTTCAGAGCGCTCGCGTGGCGTGTATTCGTTCATGGTAAAAATCTGCTTGGACTGACGCTTCAAACACGGTATGTCATTAAGCGATGTGATATATATATATATATATATATATATATATATATATATATATATATATCGATCTAGCTATGTATGTCCATCCGTCCGTCTGTTCATGTTAAATAGAGGTAAAATGTCTACTAAACCGCAATTTTTTTAATCCAGGCCATATCACAAATACATTAAAAGGTAATTCTATCCATAAAACTGATGCTAATAGCCAAGAAATCGAATATATAGCAAAATAGGTACAATATATATATTAAAGAAATATATCCTATTAATTCTGCTTATAAGTTAAGAATCGGTGGGCCGATTTAAACAATTTCTATCAATTCGGAATGGTCCCTTGCAAGATAAGGATAAAATCTAAGCAAATCGCTTAATAAAAACAAATTTGAATATCTTTTGTACCATTTTTTTTCTATTTTTGTCATATTTTTTTATCGCATGCGATTTTTCAATTTGACTTACAATTTTGAACTGCAACTTTTCTAAATTTTTACACCCCGCAATATTACGTTTTGAGGGTTTATATACATGTCGCAATTATCGTACGACTAAAAAATGTAAATTTTTCGAATTTTGTGGTCGATTTATAGACCACAATTGAAAACCAATCGACACGGAATTTCGCATCAGAGGAGAGTTAAGGACAGGGAAGTAGTTTAGTGTGTTGGACCCTTCGGTTAAATTTAGCTGTAAATTGGACCACAATTTTCGTGTGAAATTATTTTGAATGCCAAACTCCCCGGTTTAAAAACCTAAGGGTAAAATTTTTGTAGGGCTCTTTGACACTATTTCAAAACCGAAATCTTCCAAAATGGATTTGGGCATAAGGGGACTGCGAACATATTTTAGTGTTATAGGATAGGACCCGTACGACTATAGCTTTTGCTTACTTGTTTTCTAATACTTTGCAGAGCCAATATTTTAAACCTTTTTTTTACACTTTGTCGCTTTGTACAATATTTTTTTATAATTTGAAGATAATTTTAAGTAAATGTTTAGAAGTTTTGTTTTCTTTTTATTGGTAATTCACATTTTCATTCTGCCCTCAGCAATTTTTGTATTGAAATTTACATTTTGATAGCGTTATTCAAAATGTTTATATTTGGCAGGAGGTGCAAAATGAAGTAGGCCAATAAATTCCATTATCGCTCCTGCCCTTAGTTTGAAGTAAATATTACCACGTACCAAGTTTGGACTAGGTGCCCGGACGTAACTCCCATTGCAATTATGGGGATTATGTCTGAGTTTTTTATTTTCATTTTTTTAGTCATAAACTCCATATAAACTCCCTTCCACAACGGGCATAATCCCCACGGGGATTATGACGGTTTGATGTGGGGATTATTTCCCAAAAATGTTTGAGCTTAATTCTCAGAAAGAAAATAAATGATATCCATTTTGTAGAACCTGATAAGACCCGGATTTTGTATCCGGTTCGAAAAACCAGGTATTGCCCCCCAAGAAAAAATTACTTCGCCGTAATCAAGTTGAAAATACCTGTAGTCTTAAGGCTGAGTGTATATTAAATGAATGTACCCAGAATTATAAGATATTATATAAAAATACTATTGCACTTCATTGCACAAAACTAAAACGCACCCAAAGGATTAAAATCCCAACACACACGAATAATAAACTACAACAAAAATTGTTACCCCTAAGCTGTTGTACTTACTTTTACGCATTGCAATGCCATATCCTTTTTCATCCAACAACGAACCGACCTGGGTTAAACTGCAACGCCGTTCGGTTATATATTCAATGGTCGTTGATTCCATCAGAAAGGCGTAATTCTCTTTCTCAACACGTTCAACACCTTCGGCATTTGTAGATGTCATATATTCCGGATGGCTTGTCATAAATTCATTCATTTTCTGGTACGTAGGATACTTGGCGTCCTTGAGAGTTATGAATAAAAGTAAAAACAAGAGAGAAAATAATGAATTTCAATTAAACCCATGCTGCGGGTGGCACTATTTGTGGCGGTTTGTTACAAACCTTAAAAAAAGTCGAAGTGCTGCCACCCAGTTTTGCTCCGTAATTAACACCACCTTTGTTCGCCGCTAAATCTTCAACATTTTCAATGGGGGTGCTGAGCGATTCAATCGTTAAGAAGGCGGCTAAATTGGCGGTATAGGATGACACCAATATAAGGGTGAAGAAAGACCAAAATGAAGCAACCGCTCGCGTCGAAAATCCTCTGAAAGAAATGGGTATTCAGATTATTTTGGTAATGTTAGAGGATAATGCTTATATCTTTGAAATTTCAAGAGGAATAGATTCTTTGAACATAAGAAACGCCTGATAAGTAAACCAGCAAGGAAAGTTCAAAAGTCTGGCGGGGCCGACTACATGATACTCTGCACCACTATAAGTATTTAGTAGCAAAAAGTAACAAAAAAGTTTATATTGGAAATTTGTGTGAAGTAGGTCATATCAACTTTGATTGGAATTATATTAAAAAATTTAAGAAGAGCAACAGATATACCGAACCGAGTTTCACCAAATGGAAAAATTCAGTTGAATATGAAAAATCCTATCCAATTTGGGTTGATATTACATATATGGTGAACAATAGCCGTAAAATCGGATGAAGATGTATATCGAAGGTATATAAAAATCTGAATCAATCACAATAAAATTTGGCAGAGGTATTTTCGAGCCGGTATCAAATTTCATTGTTGTGGAGTGTATATAACGCCAAATCGGATAAAACAGATACAGGGTGAGATGAAAAAACTTTCAAATTCAGACTGCTGTCATTTCTAAGCCACTCGTCCGACAGCTGTTAAAATTATTCCAGTGACAGCTCATTATATTGTTAACAAGCGTACAAAAGAATTTTGGTGAGAATTTTCCCGAAAAAAAGTTATTCGTGATGGAATTCAAGCGTGATAGTGTTATTTCTTTATATTTGGCTGTGGCTATCGTTAAAGCACTTCAGCATTTAAATGTGAATAAATCTTTTGTGTCTCGTACCATCGCTCGTTACCGCGATACTGATAGCGTAGCCCGACGTCAAGGAAGTGGACAGAAGAAAACAGCAACATCACCGAAAATGGTTCAAAAATAAAGAAGAGACTTGATAGAAACCCGCGTCGCCGTGGCTGAAAAATGACTCGTGAGCTGAACATATCGCAATATTCCATTCGGCAAATATTGAAAAAATGGGCTCGGGGTAAAGTTGCTTCGCTTGGCCGAAAGTGGTGAACTGCCGAATATGGTTTTCTCCGACGAGAAAATATTCGTTGCCCATCAGTTTGTAAACATACAAAATGATCGTGTTTACTTGCCAAAGAGGTCAGCTGAAAACGTGCACCTTCGGTTGGCCAGCAGAACTCAAGCGCCGGCCATGGTGATGATGTGGGCCGCCATAACAGCTGATGGTCGCTCTCCGCTCGTATTAATCGACAGTGGCATCAAAAAAAAATAATATTCTGGAGGGCGTATTAAAGCCTTGGACACGCAAAATGGTTACAAAATGAGGTTCCTCGCTTCATTTCCAGAGCACAATGGCCACCAAAATCTCCGGATACCAATCCGTTGGACTATTGTATCTTGGAAATATACCAAAGTGTCGATCACCTCAAGCAAGCGCTTCGGTAATGGGCCAAAATCCGGCAGAGCAATATTCGGGCAGCGTGTGACGGTTTCATTGGCCGTTTGAAGGCCATAATTTGTACCAAAGGTGAACAAATCGAACAAATCTAAATTTATTCTAACATTTGATGCTATTTCCGAAAATTTTGCTTTATTTCAATAAAATTAAAAAAAATGTAAAAATTATGGCGTTTGACTTTGTTGCAGTTTTTTCATCTCGCCCTGTATAGATATATCTAAACCGATTTTCACCCAGAACTTGTTGTACTTGCTACTAGGCTGAATTCGGTCGGAGCTTATATTAGCCATTTGGTGCACAATAAACCTGAAATTGGATGAGGATATATATGGGAGCTATATCCAAATCTGAATCGATCTTGACAAAATTTTAGGCTCTAACTTCTGAGCTGTATCTGATATCTGGAGCGAAGACTATTGTTCATATGAGCGACCTAAAAGCATAATTCGGATGTAACATATATATTGGAGGTACAGCTAAATCTGAGCGGAATTTACAAAAATTGATCTACTTCTTTCTAGACTGAATTCGGTCGGATGTGCAAAAATGCAGGTCATTTGGACTGATATTGGCAACTTGGTGCACAATTAACCCGAAATCGGTAGAAGACATGTATCCGATCCAATGTCACATATATTGGTATGTATAGATGGTCCTACTACCCACATTCTAATATAAAGGATTTACTCCCTTGTTTTTAGTATTTAAAATTATGTTACCTTTCAATAAAAAAATAATAATTTCGTAGATATGTATCTTTTGTCGCACAAGTCTAAATATTAAATTTCAGAATTCCTTGCTTTCATTTTACAAATTTTCCGCAATATATGAGGACATTCATAAGAAATTTCAAAATTCTAGACAGGTATAGAGTTTAGCTCCAAAACGCAGCTTAAGTACTATTTAATGCATGTTTAGTACGAATTTTCAAAAACAACAGCTTATCTAGTTAATCTCAATTACGATGTACATACATGCGAAATTGCAACATCTAATCCAAAATTCAAATGTTTGTACTATTAAGTACCGTTTCCGCTTATAAATTACCCCGCCTAATCACCCACATACACTCCACCAGCTTTTTACATGCCAAATTCTATGATACGTCCTTTTGGTCGTCGATTAGACATTGTTTCTATTTCAATTTACACACTCCACCCCATTATCGTCATCCATATGCATTGCATTCAACTTACTTTGCCGCTAATTCTGAGCCTTGTTGCAAGAGGGTTCCCATGGCATACCAAAAGCAATTAATGAAAGTAAATTGGTTCTCCAGTTCGGTAGGCTCTTCAACACAAGGATACGGATTATCCCACTCAGGTGGTGAGATGCGACCCAACACAAACATGCTCAATGCCACCATCACGTATGCAATGCCCAGCCATAGCCAGACATCGCCCGAAAATGGTGACATGAATGAGAATAGTTTTGGGGGTTCTTTCATCGGTTTGCGAAACAAGATTGCAATGCCTGTGGGGAGAAAAGAAACAGAAGAGAAGATCAAGAAAAAGCATAAAACGAAAAATAAAAAATAGAAGACACATATTTTAAAGTGGAAATAAATTGGTTACTTTTTGCAAACAAAAAGAAAAAATGCATTCAAGGACATTTATGGCAGGACTCGAGGCATAGTCTTCTAATGTCAATGTTGCTACACTTAAATAAATTTCATTGCTACCGACGAGGCTGCTGGGTTGTCCTTGCATATTCTATAGCTAGCAATAATGCCGGCTCTCGTTATGATTTCTCATTTTGCAATGATGATATGCTTGGTTTGTTCTTGGTGTTGTTGCTGCTGTTGTTGTTGTTGTTATTGCCACCACCATCATTAGAGGAAATATATTGTATGTTGTGTGGACTTCATTTCATTCATTTCGTATTTTTGGGAGTGGGAGGGGGCTGGCGAACGAATTGCCATGATAGAATTCCTAGTTGGAAGCTTGAAACATTTTACAGTTATTAATGATATGTACACTGACAGATTCACATTTTTTTATTTGCATTCTGGGACAATGAAATGAAAACGTGTGAAATCTAGATAAATATTTGTATAGGGACAATAAACGTTCATATATCATTCGGAGCAGAAAATCTGAATTATTTCTGTTAGCTGTCGTACAGAAATGATATGTTTATTCAAGTGCTAAACATTCTACACAGTTTAAATGTTGCGATTGCATTGAAAATTTGAAATTGGTATATTGTACTGGGATGATCATAAATCTATATATATTGGAAAATTTCGAAAATGTAGCTGGGAAATAGTTCGATCAAGTAAAAAGCTGATATAGTCACTTTTTGCCTAGGCCTCGGCTGCAAATTGTTAACGATCGAAAATTTGAAAACTTGCAAAATGTCAAAATGATACTATATTTATACCCTACAACACTATGTGTTGGGGATATTATAAGTTTGATTGGGCCAAAAATTATGTAAAACCTCGAAATATTGGTTTCCCACATAGGAAAGTATATATGGATCTTCCTATCTCGCCGAGCTGAGTCGATCTAGCTATGTATGTCCGCCCGTCCGTCTGTCCATGTTAATTTGTAATCACTCAACAGGTCGCAATTATGGCCCGATCTTCACGATATTTATAATGGAGGTGGGGGTAGGGCCAAAATATAACCCTATTTCTTTTGGAGATGATCGCATAATATTTAGTTGATTTTAGGGTTGAAATGGACCAAAAACTGAAAAATTTCCTGATTTGGCAATTACTGCAGGTCGCAATTATAGACCAATCGAAGCGGAAGTTAGCATGGGGTTAGAGCTTAGGGCTGGGTAGAAACCTTCCAATTTTGATGGTCATTGGGTAATATTTAGTGGGTGAAGTAGACCATAACATTTGTGTTATATAAAAGTCAAATTTTCCATTAAACCGCGAATATTTTTAATCCCGGCGAAATCACAAATAGACAAACAAACAGAATGGCTAGGCCTATTGTTTTCAAAGATGTCCGCAATATATTTAGGGGTTGAAATGGACCAACAACTAAAAATGTTCCAGATTTTGCAGCCGTTATAAAGTTAACAAATTGAATCCAAAGGAAATCTCGCATGAAGTTAGAGTTTAGGACAGCGGGCAGAATGGACCACAACTTTTGTGTGAAAAAATACCAACATTATTTACAAGCGATATCCGCAATACACAAAAGACGAACTTCTGGCTTTTTTGCTGATTTCGTTGACGAATATAGCCAAATATCGTAGACAAGCAAATTATATAGATAAGTCTAAATTTGGAGATACAGAGGCTCCTCTTGCTTTTGAAGGTTGATCGCAAAATATTTAGGGGTTCAAATTAACCAAAAACAGAAAAAATTTCCTACTCACATAATTGAAGAGAGATAAGAACAGGGAAGAATTCTAGCATTTTGGATAACCATTGGTATATGTAGCTATAAAATGGACCACAAAAACTAACAGCATGACGGAGTGATATTGGACATATGTCCCTTGCCGAAAAGCTAAGGGTGACATAAGCGAAATATTCCAAAATTGTTTCGGACATAAGGGGGCTTCTAACATATTGTAGTGTTGTAGGGTATCACATGGTTGGCCCCGCACTACTATAGCCTTTGTTTACTTGTTTTAAAGATGAATTTAAAGTTCTAATTTTTTTTTTAAAAAAAACAATTAATTTTTGTGCAATCCTCTGTTGTTCATAACATATTCGCATAGAAAAGTGTTTCATATATTTTTTTCTAAAAGATGTTAAATGTAACAAAAAATGGTACAATAAATAGAACAAAATTTCAAACTGCAAGTACTATCGTTTCACCCAATAACAAATTGTACCTTTTATCACAAAAACTATTGGTTTCTTACGCAAAATTCAAAAAATCTAGTTGCATCCGTTTGCCCTAAACCGTACAGTTTTCACATTTAGTACACCTTTACAAAGCCACGTTATATATCTTATACCAATCTTGATTCTCTTGTCAAATTTCAAGTTTTTAGCTCAATCCGTTCACATAATATCAAATGGTACCATTTTAGAACTTTTCGTAACCCTAAATTCGAATTTCCAAAAACATATTGTTCTGTACCGTCTAACACAAAATATTAAATTCTTCGTAAATGTTTGTACTTTTATTACTCTTTTAGTACGAATTCCCAAAAATACGGCCTTTTCACACGCCTACCAAGACTGGCCTTCTAGCTTCTGTCGTTTCGTTGGAGCGTTGATTCTAGGTCAGTCAGGAATTCAGTTATTTCATTACTAGTTAATATATACAGGGTGGGATCAAAAAACTGCAACAAAGTCACGCGCCATAATTTTTTCATTTGTTTTAAATTTCACTGAATGAAAGCTAGAAATGTCGGAAATATGATAACATTTTAGAATAAGTTTAGATTTGTTCGAATTGGTCACCTTCGGCACGAATTATGGCCTCCAAACGGCCAATGAAACCTTCACACGCTGCCCGAATGTTGCTCTGCGTTAATTTGGCCCATTCCCGGCGATGCGCTTACTTGAGGTGATCGTATTTTTAGTGCCAACCTTGCTTTCCAAAATACTCCAGAAATAATAGTCCAACGGATTGGTATGCGGAGATTTTGGTGGCCATTGTGCACTGGAAATGAAGCGAGAACCTCATTTTCTAAACATTCTTGGGTTGCGCGTGCCGAGTGCAATGGTGCTGAGCCCTGTGAGAATGTCCAAGATCTGCCGTCAAAATGTTTGCGTGCCCAAGGCTTTAATACACCCTCCAGAATATTTTCGCAATAATATTCAGCATTTATTCCTATGTCACGGTCGATTAATACGGGCGGAAAGCGATCATCGGCTGTTATGACGGCCCTCACCATCACCATGGCCGGCGCTTAAGTTCTGGTGGCCAACCGAAGGTGCACATTTTCAGCTGACCTCTTTGGTAAGTAAACACGATCATTTTGTTTGTTTACAAACTGCTGGACAACGAAAGTTTTCTCATTGGAGAAAACTAAATTCGGCAGTTCACCACTTTCGGCCAAGCGAAGCAACTCTTTTGAGTCTATTTCGTTTCTGTTGCGGTGTAAGTTCGTGCCCTTTTTGAAATTGCAATAGCTTTACCCCGAGCTAATTTTTTAATATTTACCAAATGTAGTATTGAGATATGTTCAGCTCACAAGCCATTTTTCGGCCACTGCGACGCGGGTTTCGATCAAGTTACTTCTTTACTTTTCGAACCATTTCTGCTGATGTTGCTGTATTCTTTCGCCCACTTCCCCGACGTCGGGCTACGCTACAAGTATCACGGTAACGAGCGATGGTACGAGACACAAGAGATTTATTAACATTTAAATGCTGGAGTGCTCTAACGATAACCACGTGTTGTTTTCCAGCCAAATATAAAGAAATAAAACTATCACGCTTCAATTCCATCACGTGTAACTTTTTTTAGGGAATATTCTCTACAAAATGCTTTTGTACGCTTTTAAACAATATAATGAGCTGTCACTGGAATAATTTTAAGAGCTGTCGGACGAGTGGCTTAGAAATGACAGCAGCCTGAAGTTTGTTGCAGTTTTTTCATCTCACCCTGTGGATTAACGCAAATGCAGTTATGAGTATTTCTAATTCGGAATATATATATTTCTAAAGTTAGGGATAAGCAATAATGTACTCGACCTCTTTAATGGGTATTTGGATTTATTATTCTTCAAAATATTAAATTGAATGGATTGGAGATTTAGATATTTATTTCTCAAGGACCAGATAGATTTTTATATGGGCAAACCTATGGCCGAAATACTCAACAGTGATTAAAAAGTTGAACATTTTCTGTATTTGGTCCATGAGAAGTCCATATAATTTTTACAGAAATTAAAAGAGATACTTCTTACAGTGTATCTAGTTCATTCAGTGTTAATTAGAACTGTTGTCACAGAGATTGCTTTAGTAATGAAAGAATACATGCAATGATTTATGTATATAAATAGACATACAATTTTGTTATTAGGGATGTCCAGCACAAATACTAAAACATAAAGTAAAGGTACCACTACATATTAAGGATTATTTTTCTTAAAAAGGGAAACTTTATATCTAATTTAATATATTATGGATAATAGGTCATATTGTATACGTGTCTATATATACATCAGTATTTTATTCAAAAACCAAAATATTCCGAAAAGCTTAGAATTGTAACATATGTACAAATAAATTGTCTACTTTATATGACAACTCTACTGGCATATACTGTTATATACCTAAACAGCTTTTAGGAAATAGCACTGCTCATGCAATGCATATTCGTTTTCCTTCCATAATGATGTTGTACTTGGGCTTGAACCAACAGCAGCAACAACAACACCAACAACAATGATAACAACTACAAACACAAGGACAGCAAGCATTTTAGCCAAAGTCATTAATGAGTTTCCATCTTCTGCTTCAAATGCTGACATTACAATTTTCACACTTGCTACTCTTGCCATTATTGTCTCTTTTTTTCATAGCCAGCATTTCACTTTCTTTGTTGCTATTTCACGGTTATTATCATTCTAATTGGAAGCATTTGCAGCATGCCACGGAACAAGAACCAAAAGCAAAAAATAATGTCAAATGCGAAAAAGCTTTTCATACTTACCCAAATTCATAAAAGGAATTGTAAAGTCAACTGCACTTTCACGATCAGAAGTCATGGTTAAATCGGTGATACCCAAATCGGCACGCTGTAAAGGAGAGCGATGTGGTTTTGAAAAATCGAAAATTTCTATAAAACTTTCAACCATAATGTGAAAAATTAAACGTGAACCAAAGTCATTGTGGATCATATTATATTCTACAACATAATACATGTATCGGAATCTTACTCTATTTTAACAACATTTGACAGAGGTGTTATCTTGTATCAAACTTCGAGGCCTCACTACGGCCTTAGGAAGGCTTAACTATAAATTGAAGCTACATATATACAGGTTGAGATAGAAAAACTGCAACCAACTTCAGACTGCTGTCATTTCCAAGACACCCGTCCGACAGCTGTTAAAAATATTCCAGTGACAGTTCATTATATTGTTTACAAGCGTACAAATACATTTTGGTGAGAATTTTCCAGAAAAAAAGTTATTCGTGATGGAATTTAAGAGTGATAGTGTGATTTCTTTACATTTGGCTGGAAAACCACAAATGGCTATCGTTAGAGCACTCCAGCATTTAAATGTGAATAAATCTTCCATCGCTCGTTACCGTGAAGTGGACGGATTACACAGCGTCAAAGAAGTGGACGTACTTGATCGAACCCCGCGTCGCAGTGGCCGAAAATGGCTCGTAATCTGAACATATCGCAATATTCCATTCGCCAATTATTGAAAAATGAGCTCGGGGTAAAACCATTGAAATTCCAAAAAGTGCAAGAACTTAAACCGCAACGGAAAGAAAATAGACTCAAGAGAGTCTAAAGAGTTGCTTCGTTTGGCCGAAAGCAATGAGAAAACATTCGTTGTCCAGCAGTTTGTAAACAAACAAAATTATCGTGTTTACTTCCCAAAGAAGTAAGGTGAAATGTGCACCTTCGGTTGATGGTGTGGGCCGCCATAACAGTCGGTGGTCGCTCTCCGCTCGTATTAATCGACCGTGGCATCAGAATAAATGTCAAATACAGGGTTGCCCATATTCGACGGACTTTTGGGCCCTTTGGGTCCATTCCAATCGACGAGGCTTGTCCGCAGGCAACATTCTTTGCGTCAATTGAATTTTGTACGGGAACAAATGCAAATCAATGCGAATAATCCGTTGTACAGTGGACCGAGCCATGCCCAACTGCTGAGAACGGCGTTTTTGGGATGTTCTTGGGGACCTCTCAACACTGGCTCGTACGGCAGCGATATTCTCGGCCGATCACCTTGGTCGACTTTTATATGGCCTCTTCGGATTAGAAAGAGCCTTACCAGTCGAAAATTTTTCGTATAAACGCTTAATGGTGTTTTTAGAAGGCGCACTTCTCACATTTTTTTTCACAATTGATTTCTTCTGTTGAATGTAAATTTCAAGTATTTCAGAGCGCTTGCGTGGCTTGTATTCGTTCATGGTAAAAATCTGCTTGGACAGACGCTTCAAACGCGGTATGTCATTAAGCGATGTGACATCTCTGTCAAAAGTTATGGCGTTGCCAGATGGGTCCATCGAATATGGGCAACCCTATTATCGCGAAAATATTCTGGAGGGTGTATTAAAGCATTTTGTCCGCAGACCTTGGAAATTCCAACAGGACTCAGCAACATCACACTCAGCACGCGCCACCCAAGAATGGTTACAAATTGAGGTTCCTCTCATCATTTCCAGCGCACAATGAACTCCAAAACCTCCGGATACTAATCCGTTGGACTATTGTGTCTGGAGTATTTTGGAAAGCAAGATTGACACTAAAAAATACCAAAGTGTCGATCTTCTCAAGTAAGCGTTTCGCCAGGAATGGACCAAAATACCACAGAGCAACATTCGGGCAACGTGTGACGGTTTCATTGGCCGTTTAAAGACAATAATTTGTGCCAAAGGTGATCAATTCGAACAAATTTAAACTTATTCTTAAATTGGATGCTATTTCCGACATATTTAAAGCAAAATCCAATATAATTTAAAAATTATGGCATTTGACTTTTTTGCAGTTTTTTTTATCTCACCCTGTATATATTGAAGCTACTTCTATATCCGAACCACTTTAAAATAAAATTTAAAAAAAATCTTTCCAGTATTTATTCAACTTTGTGAGCTAAAATTCATCTTGTTCAAAAAAATATTATACATTTGTTGCCCAATAACCATACAATAGGGGGAAATTGTATATAGTAATATCCGAATCTGAGCTAATTGACGCCAACTTCAACAGTCTTGACCTCATTAGATCCGTCAGTTAAATTTCTCATACCATAAATGAAATCCTACGTTCCGTCAATGAAATTTGTTATTGATTTTAAACCAACGTAGAGGTTCATTGAATAAATGAAAACAGTCATTCAGTAAAATTAACGAGATTGTTCATTAATATAAGGAAAATTCTTCCTTGATTCAGTGAAATGAGAATGGTTATTTATTAGGATGTATATAATATATAAATAATATATATAATATATACTTTTTTTATTAAATAGACAATGGTTTTTAATAAACCGTCTGTCGTATCTGATTACAAGTTAATTTATGTTTATACTGAGTTGTATTCAAATATTAGAAATTCTCTATAATTTAAACATATTTTTAAATATATGACCAGCTGTCTCCAATAATGTGCTTCACGACCATCCAGAATGTTAATCACATCTTCTTCGGATAGTATTGCGGATTGGAAAAAACTCGTCCTAAATTCTGCCAGGATAGGGCACTCTCCAATGAAATGCTGCAATGTTTCATCACGAATCAGATTACATAACGTACATTTACGTTCTGCATTTTCAGTGTTAAATCTGGTTGCATTCAAATTGATAAGTCCACATCGTGCTTTAAAGATCCATGAAATCTGATCGCTAGTAAAAGAGTCAGTAAAGTACATTTCTCCCATTCTATAGTCTAAATGTTTATAAATTCTATCTTGGCTTTGTTGTTTTAGCCTCAAGTTTTCCTGTAATAAATATGTTTTTTCTTTACCAATAATGCATTTGCTAAATAATGTCCATTCATCTTCATTTGCGGTATTTGGCCATTGAACGTTTAACCGATGAGCCATACTTTTAATATTTGCTACCCAGAATCCTTCTTTTTCTAGCAATATATTGGTTAATATTGTCGGTAACCGATGTTCTTGGTATCTGTACAATACTTGATGTATATACTTTAGATTTAGTTTGAGTGTATATAAGTGACAATTTTCGACATTGGTCTCAAGCATAAGAGCGTAGTTAGGTGTAAAACTTGGTACTTTGAGGATTTTCTTTAAAAAGTAACGCTGCAACTTATCGACCTCGTCAAAATACGAATATCCCCATACTTGTGCAGCATAAGTTTGTACTGATCTACAAACAGCCTCATAGACCTTCCATTTCATTTTCATATTTACATCTTTCTTCCCCAGGAAATCAATCCATGTAGAGTTTATTGCCATCTTTGACTGGCTAGTTCGTTTCTCAATGTGTTTTGAAAATGAAAGTTTCGGGGTAAAGGTGACTCCTAAGTATTTGTACTCATTTACATTTTTAATTTCATTTCCATTAAACTTCCATTTCTCATTTCTGCCCAGCCTTCCTCCTTTTCTGAATATGAGTATTTCAGACTTGCTCATATTGACTTTCAGATTCCACTTTTCACAATAGCTTTCCAGGTTTGAGATCATTTGTTGTAGCGTTTTTATATCATCTGACAAAATCACAATATCATCTGCATAGAGCAAAAGCCTAATGTTTATATTGTGAATATCAATACCTCCTTCTAGATGTTCGTGTAGATCATTTATATAGAGCGAGAATAACAATGGCGACAGGAGGCAACCTTGTTTCACTCCTGAACTGGTTTCAAAGTAGTCTGACAGTTCTTCGCCTGTCCAAACCGCATACTCTGTGTTGTTGTATATACTTTCAATCAGTTTTAGAAATTTATTCGAAACACCAAGTCGAGCTAGTTTATATATTAAGGATTTTCTGAAGACATTATCGAAAGCGGCTTTAAAGTCCACAAAGAAAGCATATACTTTCTTATTTTCGTTTTGTTTAATATTCACAATTGATGCCAGGTTATATATATTATCCACCGTCGAATAGCCCTTTCGGAAACCTGCCTGGTATTCGCAAAGCACTTGATGATAGTCTACCCAATCATATAGTCTCTGATTTAAAATTCCCATCATTATTTTAGCAATACTATTCATAAAAGCAATTCCTCGGTAGTTTGATGGTTCTGACATATCTCCTTTTTTGTGGATTGGGAAAATTATGGTTTTCTTAAAAGCATTATCAATACATCCTTTATTTAAAATTGCGTTATATCTCCTGATCAATTGTTTGTGAAAATCATCAGTTGCGTATATAATGTGTTCATATGAAATTCTATCCTCTCCTGGCGCTTTGTTTATTTTCAATTTTCTCAATATACTTTTTAGCTCGCACATGGTTATTTCACTGTCTAGAATTGGATCAGTTATAAAATTTTGAGCATAGCTTATCTCAAGAGCTTGATGCGGGGGATTCAACAGACCTTCAAAGTAATTTTTAAAACTACTTGAGGATATTGACGTACTGATTTGATATCTTTGGTTCCTTATCGTTTTCACTGCTTTCCACCACTGTTTTGAGTCATTAACATTGTTGATTGTATCTAACAGGTATCTGTTGTAACTTTGTTTGTTGGACGTGCATATAGTTTTGTATTTCTTTGTTGATTCTATGTATTTTTTCCTAGTCTCAAGTGTGTTGCTTTTCTTATATTTTTTTAGTAAAGAAAACATAATTTTACGCGCATTATGACATTTGAAATCATACCATGGCTGCTTTGGCGTGAACACTTTTCTGTTCACTTTAGATTTTACTGATGCTTTTATTATGTTTCCAAGCTCGTCTAAGGTAACTTCATTTTTCCTACTCAGAGTTTTATTCAAATTCTCTTGGATACATTCTTGGTATCTGTTTATATTATGTTTATCCCATAAGAGCTTAGGCAACAGGTTAAGATTCTTGATGTTAGTGTTTTCTGTAGTAAATTTGAGTTTGAGTTTTATTGGTAAATGATCTGACCATGTTTGATTCTCTACTACAAATTCCTCCACAAGGCTTAAAATTTCCTGGGATACTGCGCATATATCATTTACGGATTCTCCTGTTCCACTTATGTATGTAAGATGGCCATCTTCGTCTCCACGAGTTCTGCCATTTAGAATGAGAAGGTTATTGTTGGTGCATAATTCTATTAGGAGGTTCCCTTTTCTATTTGTAAGTTTGTCCCGAGATTTTCGTGTGGCCATACCTGCAGCAAATAGTTCTCTATAAATTCCACTCAAATCTTGTGTCAATTCACCAATCCTTGAATTAAGGTCTCCGATTAGTATTGCATATAACATATCATTTTCTTCGAGAAGTTTACGGATCTTTTTGTACTCGTTGTCCCATTGAGCGGGCCTCCAGTATTGAGGAATAATGGTAAATAATGGTCCTTGTTTGGAGTGAAACTGATAGCAATTGGTATTATCATACTGTATGACTCTATGCGTTATGCCCAATTTTGTAGTTCTTTCGTTGACTGCGAATATGATGCCACCAATTGCTCGGCCATATATGTGCTCTTTTGTTGCTGCAACGTTATACAATTGAAATCCAGGGAAATACTTTTTTATGTTTTCAAATTTATTTTCAATCAAATGGGTTTCAGTGAGTATAATTATATCATTATTATGTAAATAATTGAAAAAGGATGGGTATAAATATTTGTTTTCAATCCCATTTACATTATATGATAAAATAGAAAGGTTTTGAAAAAATGAGTTTGGGATTGTATTTAGTTTTTTGACTCTGTTTCACACAGCAAGTAGTCGTAGTTAGTGTCCACAGATTTAATAATGTCACCATAAAGTTTGTGTAGTTCATCTTTACCATCGTTCTTTCCGGCAATGAGCTTCCGATCTTTATTCCAACTAAACCATGTATTGTTTATCCTAATGCTGTCTTCTTTAACTGTGATTCTATGTTCCTTACTTATGGCCAATATTTTCGACTTGAGACAAAGAGAAGCTTTTTTAAATTGTTGCTTTGATGGGATTAGATCTCGTTCTATATAAATGTTGGAACCAGCTAGCTTCCTGCTGTTACGCATAATTTCTTCCGATTCATGGTTCGTTTCGAATTCAGCCACTACACTCATTTTTCCATTTCTTTCATAAATTTTTCGAACAGATCTTGCCCTCATTTTCAGTTCTAGTTTGTTTGTTAATAAATTATTTACTTCTTTTGTTGGCTCATTTGTACAATTTAGGCCACGGATGAAAATTTTGCTGCTTTTTATATGTTCCTGCATCCACATTATATCTTTTTTATTTTCTTCACATTCTCTTCGTACTTGCTGTAGTTCCACCTTTAGCTGTTGATTTTCCAACCTTAGAAGGTTTAACTCCGAGCCAATTGAGGTTATTTCCACCTTTACTTCTTCAATATCTTCCTTTGTAGACAACGTTTTTAGTTTTTCGTCTAAATTTGCATTAATTGTGCTGCTTATAAGGTGTATAAGTTCCATTTGTGAGAGTGCAACCGGCGATGTTCCAGTACCTGGTGATAATTCATTTCTGTTTCGTTTCGATGACTGGGCACTAATTGTTTGCTGGGTAGCAATGGCCTTTAGTGGAGGTGAACGTTGCATATTTAATAATTGAAACTATAAGAAATGTAACGGAAAATTCGTTGTGGTTGGCAACACTCTTGCTTTAATATCGATAAGTTTTCGGAGTTTATCGGTCTTTTATCGTGTTTTTATCTGCTCTATGTTTGAGCAACAAGGCCAGCTGATATTAATGTTTTGGTTTTGTGGTGTTTGTGCGAACTTGACTTTCCAGTGATTAAATTATTTTTTTTTTTTCAAACTTTTTGTGGGAGAAAAGTAACATTTACTAACTCACCCTGGTGAACAAGGATATCCTCTTCAATGTCGGTGGTGTGAATTTCTTTAATCTGAAAGTTGATACTAGTTTCGGTCTGAAGAGATGTCTTTTTCCCGGTAAATTTGCTGATTATGTAGCAGCTGTAATGCAGTATGTATTTGTCGCTGACTGTTGTTATGCAAATGAGAATGGTGGAGGGTATTAAAAGTTCGGTCCGGCCGAACTTTGCTGTTTTTTACTTCTTAATACCGTTGTCGTTGTGCATTTGTTTGTAACAGGTAGAAATATGCGAGATAAACCCTACTTTTTTGAATGATCTTTATAAAATCACGTTCTGAGTGGGTTTATGCATGTCGATAAGTCTGACCGTCTGCCCATGTATTTTTATGAACAAAATGCAGATCGCCAATTGATATGAAATTTTTCGTTTATCATTTGTTTGGCCTAAGAACAAACTCCATAACGTAACGTTTCATCCATTTCATGAAACTGTCTAATTAAATTGGGGCACAAATTTAAATATAACTATTATCACAATTTTCCCTCTAATTATAAATACTTTGGTTGCGTATTTGTTTGTATAAGACAGCGCTATTTTGTATCATTTTTATATTCACATTTTTTACTAAATTTTGTAAAAATGAGTAGTTTCGTAACATTAATGAAATCCGTTTCATATATTCAATGAAATCAAAAATCATTGAATTTGAAAGCAACGTAAGTTTTCATTGCATGAACAAAACAATTATTATATTAATGTAGCTTTTCCTTCCATCAATGACATAAAATCAACGAAACCGGTTCATTGATACAACGAATCATTTTTCTTTCAGTGTAGTGTTACCTATTTACTCTCGTCACCTTGACTTTGATTCCAGCCACATTTTGAAACCAAATGAGCTGTATTTCGATAGCTCTTATTATGTGAATTCTTTCTTCACAAAAGTGGAAATTATACGCTAACTATTTGATAAAGCTCCATACAATGGAATCTTCGACTTTAAAGTACTTTGAAGAATTCAATCACATTTTAACCAAATTAGTTGTAATTTGGTATTTTAGGTTCCCTGAGGAAACAAACTGTCCCTGTTAAAAATATTCAAAATAAACCTATGTTTGTTATAGCCTCCTGGTATTTGGTATTCAGAAGGTTTCAGCAGTCACAATTTTCACACAAAGACACGGTTATTTGCTCAATCAAGGTGCAGGTTTTGAAATAGCCTCCATATGAAGGTAAGTACTAGTATGGACATTTGGAAGAACCTTTACACATTTTTCGACTGAATTTACTACGATTATGAATTTGAAAATGTATCAAATAGACAAAATCAAACTGAGGTCAACATGATTGAGGGTTCGGTCCATCCGAACTTAACGCCATTTTCACTTTTTTAGGTTTGCAATAAAAAAGGTAAGTAGGTAGGTAAAAAAGGTTATTAAAAATGGTAAAAGTTCTGCAGGGCTAAATTGATGAAATTATTGAAAAATGCCTCCAATTTTTTCACGAAATTTTTGATCTTTAATAATATTCCATGTCACTACTGTTACAGCGTTACCTAAATTGGACGTACTCAGTTTTCACAAAAACGTCGGAGGTACAAAATTTCAAAGTTGAAAAACTTCAACATTGACAATTGAACAATTTCTTTTTTTGTGTGTTGAAATTAGAAAAAATAATACAAACAAGTAAAAGAAACAAGAACTTTTAATACCCTCCATCATTTGGAAAAAAAAATTAAAAATTTTCAAAAAACTTCCGGAAACTACCACTTAAATTGAAATTGTTTTATGAAGACGTGGAACTGCTTATGAAATTTTTTGTCATAGGCTGTAGTTCCCATTACGAACTTCAAACACAAAAATTTAAACAATTCAAATACCAAATTTGAAAAAATTTCGCTAAAATCATAAAAATATCGAGTATTGGGAGGTATCGCCTGTAGCACTCATTACGAACTTCAAATACGAAATTTGAAATAATTCCTTTAAATAATGTCGCTAAAATCATGAAAACACCGAATATCGGGTGGTACCGTTATATAGGGTCTATACGAAGACGTGGACCGATTTACGAACTTATCCTGCCTGCTGGTAAACTATGCATGTATGCAAAATGTTAGCCATCTGTCTAAATTCGTTCTAAAGATAGCGTGACTACAACAGACAGACGGACAGACAGACATCGCTATATTATAGCCTCCTACAATTCGGTATTTACAAGGTTTCAGCAACAAACTTAAAACATAATTGACTGTAATTTGATATTTTGTGTTATCATTAAATCAAGATTCGCCCCTCGAAAAGTTTTAAATATATGTTTATGTTTTGGCAATATCGGCCGATTTAATTTATTTAGGTCCCGGTCACAATTTCCACACGAAGACAGGCTTTGTAAAGATTTGTTGCGTAGGTATTTGATAGGACTGAACATTTTTGGTACGAAGAGTACTAAAATGTATTAAATATTGAACCTTTGTATTGAATAGAAGAAATGAGCTAGAATTCTGAAATTTGGAATGCGAATCATTCATGAAGTGCAGGATAGATGTATCAAAAAAGAAATTCGAACTTTAAGATTACGAAAAATTCAAAAATGATCTAAACTTCTAAAATGGTGCTATTTGGTCAAATGGAAAACCAATATCCATTGAACATAAAATAAATGCTTCATTATAAAGTAAGAGTGCAATCGCCTTGGTTTATAAACAAATGCTAATGAAAACATATTTTTTAATAATTAGAAATATTAACATACCCCTTCCATTATTTCCAGAATCATACCATTCCATTTGCCCGTCTTCGCGTCTAAACTTCCATACTTATTATCCTCTTGCAGACGAAAAGTGTAGGAGAATCCCAATTTCTTTCCCAATTCTTCGATGAGTTCAATGCCGAAACCTTCAAATTGATCATTGCCTTCCAGTTTATGGGGAACATCCTTCAGCATGCCATAAGGTTCACTCTGCAATACGAACACACACATGTACATAGCACTACAGAAAAAAAATTGTTAACTTATCTCAAACAATACTCACAATGGCCGTTATAACAACAAAACTTTTATTGACCAATGAACGCATGTCAGGTTCACCGCTTACAGTGGGTGGTGGACGATCGATGGTAACACCTTCCTCCGGCTTCCATGTGCCAATTTTTTGTACTCCCGACACACTTAGTTCTATTAATTCCAAAGTGAAATCGCTTCTCAGACCTTCATAATCGAATTTTATTTCTCCGCTGAGACCTTCAATGTTTAACTTTAAAAAGAAAAAAGAGAAAAAGACACAACAACAAGAAAATTAAATGGGAAATGTTTTATCGACGAAAACAAAGACATTTCATTGTCCCCACCACATATAACGTCCCCACTTACCGATTTCATATAATTGACTAACGTATATCCTTTATCCCATGAACTGTCATCGTTACAATTTAAAGCTTCTGGACGAAACTGGACATGCTTGAACGTCTCGGCCAGCAACTGGACACCGTCGTAAACCAAAGCCATGTTAACAGTCAAAGGACATGACACTATTCTCGTGTGCGTGCCATTTCGGTGCGTGTTCCGAGTGTAGAAGCAATAAAATTGAGTAAAACGAAAACAACAACAAGGAATAAAAAAAATGAAGAAAATTGAGTGAAAATGTCTGACAATATTGACTTTTAAATTGTGTTTCGAAAATCAGCATTAACATTAATGTGTTTCGTTTTTGTGGGTGTGACCCGATGAAAGCTACCCAACATACCAAATTGACTTGAGAATAATATTTTAATAAGCTTTCAAAAATAAGCCTTAAGCTTGAGAAAATCTTGAGAATGTATTGAGAAATGCTTGTTTAACAATTATAGAATAATCGAAAGGGAACCCTTATTCATAAGCTTATTCTTGTAATTGCAGAATAAGCTTACGAAAGTAATATTATATCAAGCTTATTTTTTCAATGGTATAAAATATTTATTTTTTAATTATTTTACACATTTCATTCATTGATCGCCATCCCAGCTGTCGCTGCCTCCTGTTGCATTGATACCTAGATGATATCTTTCCCCTTATTTGAGCTTCCGCATCTCCTCCACTAATTCTTCACTTCTCTTGAATTCTTGCAACTTTTTGACGCCTCTATTCTGAAATGAGATTGAAATAATATACACTACAGATTCCCAGATTTATTATTCATCATTACCTTAGAGTTTCATCCAGAAATGGGTCTTAAATTCGCGTGATTTTGATTTTAACCAAAGAAAATATTTTTTTTGTCGACAATTTTCACAAAAAAAAAATCAAAACAAATTTGTCAACAAAGGACAGATTTGAGAAAAGTTTGTGCAAAAAAGTTTTTCTCTAGCATTGTTGAGGAATTCTTACGATAAACTATTTTCATAATATTATTCTCAAGCTGTATTGTATTTTTGGTATGTTGGGTAACGACTTTGACTTTAATGGGAGGGAATGGAGTAGTGTCAAAACGCACGTATGTGTGCATGTGTGAGCTTGCAAGGACGAGGACAACATGGATTCGCTGTTACATGTTTTCATTGAAAATTTTACTACTTATTTGTGAGTTTTACAATATAATGGACTTTTATGTGAGTATTGGAGTTGTTTTTTTTTCACGGATAGCAACGTTCATTAATTTTGCAAGAATTTGAAGAACAATATCTAGAGGGCAAAGGTTAGATTCATGGTAAAGTGTTGTTCTTAAATGTCAATCCTGTAACATTTAGCCTTTTTTAGAATTTAAATAAAACCTTTATCATTATGTTGTAGTTTATTATATTTGGTTTATTTGCGATTAACTCAGTTCAGAATCATACTGCCCGTGCATAAAAGAGATAGAGAGAGTTGACACAATTACTTTAATTTAAAATAAATGGTAAATGATAACTTAGAAGGTTAACAAAATGTCTCCATTTACCTCTTGCTACCATTATCAAAATATGTAAATGTATGCGGAAGGCGTGCTTCAGAAAACGGCAAGAACAAATTGATTTCACAATTTCAATAAATGGTAAAATAAATTACTGTAACGTCCATATGAAATGAGCTATTTTGTTTTTACTAGGAAGTGAACACTTCGTCAGTGAAATGTCCACCTTTAAATATTACATTCGTTCCAACACTTCGTTTTAGGCCCTTTTATACCCTATATCACACAGTGATCAGGGTATTATGTCTTTATGCATTTGTTTCTAACATACAGAACGAAACGAGATAGACTCATAGTTCCTTTTAATGATCTGCATAGAATCACATTCAGAGACGATTCTATTTACATCGGCATGAAATTTTGTACATATTCGTCCGATTTGCCTAATTAATCCAAATAGGACGGAATTTGACAAAAATTTATCCTACAAATAAGTATGGTGGCAATCGGTTCGGATATAGCTATAGCTCTCATATTTATTATACCCTCCACCATACATAGTGTGGAGGGTATATTAAGTTCGTCATTCCGTTTGTAACTCATCGAAATAATCATTTTAGACCCAACAAAGTATATATATTCTTGATCAGCGTAAAATTCTAAGACGATTTAGCCTTGTCCGTCCGTCTGTCAGTCCGTCCGTCTGTTGTAATCACGCTACAGTCTAAACGAATTAAGATAGGAAGCTAAAATTTTGCACAGATCTCTCTTATGTCTGCAGGCAGGTCAAGTTCGGTGGGCTATATCGGTCCACGATATTGTATAGCCCCCATATAACGGTACCCTCCGATATTTGGTATTTTGAAGATGTTAGCCACATTTTTCAATGGAATTGTCTGAAAATTCACACAAGTAGTTCCTTGTGAATACTTTACCCCCTGAGAGAGAATTGTCTATATAAGTCCACGATATCGTATATCCCCCATATAACGTTACCACCGATATTCGGTATATGGATGATTTTACCCAGATTTTTCAACGGAATTGTCTGAAAAACTACACAAGTAGTTCCTTGTGAGTACTTTATACCTCGGCAGAGAATTATCTATATAGGTCCACAATATCGTATAGCCCCCATATAACGGCACCCCCTGTATTCGACATTTTGATGATTTTAGCCACATTTTTCAATGGAATTGTCTGAAATTCCACAAAAGGAGTCCCTTGTGAGCATTTTACCCCCTCAAAAAGAATTGTTTATATATGTCCACGATATCGTATATCCCCCATATAACTGTACCCCCCGGTATTCGGTATTTTGATGATGTTAGCCACACTTTTCAATGGAATTGTCTTAAAATCCACACAAGTAGTTCTTGTGAGTACTTCACCCCTTGAGAGAGAATTGTCTATACAGGTCCACAATATCGTATATCCCCCATATAACGGTACTCCCCTATATTCGGTATTTTGATGATTTTAGCCACTTTTTCCAATGGAATTATCTGAAAATCCACACAAGGAGTTCCTTGTGAGTACTTTACACCCAGACATAGATTTGTCTTTATAGGTCCACAATACCGTATATCCCTCCATATATCGGCACCTTCCTATATTAGATATTTTAAAGATTTTAAAACAATTTTTAATGGATTTTATTTTGTTGAAAAATTTCTAATTCGTTACAAATGGTGGAGGGTATTCAAAGTTCGGACTTACTGTTTTTTACTTGTTTTTAATTCAATTTGTTTCATTTGTCCTCCACAGTCGTAATATGCACTTCGTAACAACGATAATTCGGGAAATATATTAAATATAGCTCAGAAATACCTTTGCCAAATTTTGTCGAGATCGGTTTGGATTTGGATATAGCTCCACTATATATCTTTACTAGATTTCAAGTTTATTGATTGATTTTTGGATCGAACAAACTCATCCTGGAAGAACAACTTGGTGAAAATCGGTTAAGTATAGCTATAGGTCCCATATATATGTTTCATGCGAATTTGTTTCTAAGTCCTTCACGCCCGTAAAATTCCCATATATACTTCCTTCCGATTTTACTTTGATTGCACCTAAAGAGTGTAAAATCACCTCAAATAGGATGAATTTTGCTGAATATCGGTTCAGACACAAGTGGTTCCCCTCCCATATATTAGTTCCTGTCGGCTTGAAATTATAACTGCTTTAAAGCCATAATACACATTCAAAAATGGTCAAAGTTGGTATGATTTGATTCCCAAAAATTCGTAATATAAACGTTTATTTATTATGGGTATTCCCTGCCTTACCCCTGGTAAACATCGTTCTCCACTAATAAACAAACGTTATTTTTATAAAAACAACAATAAAGGGATTAAGCCTGATCATCTTGCAACAACAAAATACTATGGTATCCCGAACAAACAAGCCAATACCGTTTATTTTTTTAATGATTGCGTCCGTTGGTTTTGGAGGTACCGTGTCGGTGCCCGGACATAATCCCCATTGCAATTATGGGGATTATGTACGGTTTGTTTTTGGTCATAGCCGCTTCAAAAACGGATACAATTCCCATGGGGTATATGACCGTTTGCTGTGTGGACTACTTACAAAAATAATTAAGTTTAGAAATCTTTGATTCACGTTAGCCGGAGCGGGACTCAGAGGAGAAAATCTCAAGCCCCGGCCAAAGGCCCTCTACTTGCAAAAATTAGGAAATTTAGGTGCAGGGCATACCCAGTGGAGAAAATCTCATTTTTTCGCACACCCAATCGTTTTTGGTATTCCCCATAGGAATTATGTCCGCAACTTTCTGGGAATTGTGGCCGAACCCCCAAATTAGAATTGGGACTATGTCCAAGAAAAAAGTCATTAACCACAGAAAGTAGCGGACATAACCGCCGTAATAATGGGTATGTTCAAAGACTTTCTCTTCTGGGTATGTCCGGCACCGGCTAACGCGAGTACAAGTTTACTACATTTAATAATTTTTGCAAGTAGTCCCCACATCAAACGGTCATACACCCACTTTATAAAATAACATGACTGAAAAAATTTCGTAATGCCCATGATTGCAATGGGGATTATGTCCGGGCGCCGGTTTTGAATTTCTCATTTTAAATAACCTAATCCGCCAAAGGTGAGGTGATGTCACAAACCTCGAAATATTGGTTCTAGACCGACGATTTGACATATTTATCTTCCTATCTCGCAGAGCTGAGTCTGTCCATTTTCATTTGTAATCACGCTACAGGACACAACTATGACGCAAACCTCACGAAATTTTGCGTTGAGTTCCCGATAGGGTCAGAACAGAAACATTTAATTACCAGAAACCTGAAATTATAATTTTAACCCTAAAATATCTATTGCGTTTAGGCAAGATTTATACACTAAAAAGACTCCTAAGTTCTTGAGGGACAAAATATTCTACCCACATTTTCCTAGTATTTTTATCAACAATATTGCCGAAGACGCTATGTACCTAAAATGCACGGATTCCAAAGAATCTTAATCTTAAAATTTCAAAAAGTATTGAAGAGGGGGAAACATTTCTCTTCTATTTTGGTATCTTTTCGATGTAAACTTTGAAAACGCCGATACTAGTGTTTTATTTTTTAGCTCCACTTTCATAATCCATTGAACTTTCCCCGTAATTATTTTCTGTGTTATACAGTGTTATTGAGTTATCTAACTCATCTCATATGCGGATCTAGCAATTTAATTATAGACAATGCATCATGGAAAAAATTGAGATGTTGACCATAACAAATAGTAATTTTCCACATAACCAAATGACTAACGTTTTTTTGGAAAATTATATGCCACCTCAATTTGTTTTCACAATGCATTGTTTCAATTTTTAGAATTTTATGCCCTGGATGCATAAATATAATTTGTATTGCAATGAATTGCATAAATATAATTTGTATTGTTTATAATTTTACATACCATTTTGAAAAGGTTCCTCGGATTCATACAACATTTTTGCCACCTCGGCAACATTGTCCGATTCGGGTGACACCACACGGAATGCTGTTATATTTGTGTCACCATGCTGATATGGTTCCAAATCGATGGTTTGAAAATCCAAATTGCCAATAATATAACGATACGCTCCAGTCATTATGCCAACTTGTTGGGCCTGATAGTAATTACAACGGCAGCAGGCCACATCAAAAGCGAAAATTGAAATAAATTATAAAACATCACTCCATTGAAATATAAAAGAAAATGTTGAAAACTTTTTCCATTCACCTGTTTTAATAATTCAGGCAATGTATTCAAAGAGCCCACAACCACAAATGAACTTTCGCCAGAGTTTTTAATGCGCCGCAAAACATTACGATAATTACCATTGAGGTCAAGTTCATAGCGGCGTACAACGATGGTGGGGCCACTGGTGCCATATAATTCGAGTAGCTCCTTAACAAACATTAGATACTCTCCTAATAAATAAAGGAGAAGCAAACAAAGTATTGACTGAACACTCAAAAGTATTGACCTTCATTTGCATTGCTCCGAACCTGATTCATAGATAATGGTAAAGGTTTCCCATCCAAATGTTGTAACCACATCTTTTATGGCCATGGCCAGTTGTGAGGGGTGCGGATGCAAATTAATCGTAGACAATTGAGCACCAAAATCCCAACGTGTATCCACAAACGGCAACTCTTTGGCATCACAAATACTCATGGCATGTTTGGCAGCCATGTCCGTCGTTGGACCGAAAACCGCAACGAGATTTTGCTAAAGGAAACATAAATTAAACACACAAATTTTTCTAAAAACAAAAACTTTTGCCATTTTTTGGCCAGCATGGCTTCTTCATTCTAAAAGTAGTATTTCCATGGCCGTGAATGCACGGAAATGCTTGTCGTGTTGTGAACTTTAAAATGTTTACTCACCCGTAAGATTTTGCAAAGTTTTTTGGATGTACCAAAAGCATCGCCCGCATCTATTTCAATGGTCACGGCATGCAGGCGGATATCTTCGTTTTCCTCATTGGCTTTGCTAATGGCCAATTGAAAGATCTTTGCCATATCGGGATTATCGGCTTCATGTATGAGGCCTAAAATGGCAAGAGAATGGAGAGTTTATTATTTTTTTGGGGAGCAAAAAAATATGTAAATATTTGAGGAAGAAAGAGATCTGCAGTAGTAAATTAAAGAACCAAAAATGAAAATTAACAATAATGTCGGCTGAAAAAAGATTTACTGAACGGGATGTGAATGAATTGGGTTCATGAATCCTTATGTTTTTATACCCTCCACCATACTATGGAGGGTATATTAACTTTGCCATTCCGTTTGTAACTCCTCGAAATACTCATGTCAGACCCAACAAAGTATATATATTCTTGATCAGCGTAAAATTCTAAGATGATCTAGCAATGTCCGTCTGTCTGTCTGTGTGTCTGTCTGTCCGTCTGGCTGTTGTAATCACGCTATCTTTCGAACAAATTGAGATAGTAAATGGGCTATGTAGGTCCAAGTTATCATAAGGCCCCATATAACGGTACCTCCCGATATACGGTATTTTGATGATTTTAGCGACATTATTCAACGGAATTGTTTCGAATTTGGCATTTGTAGTTCGTAATGGAATTGTTTCAAATTTCGCATGTGAAGTTCGTAATAGATACTTCATCCCATGCCAGAAAACTGTCTGTGCAGGTCCACGTCTTCGAATAGCCCCCATATATTCGGTATTTTGATGATTTTAGCTACATTATAAACAGATTTTTTTTCAATCTGGGGCTATACGAAGACGTGGACCTGCACAGACAATTTTCTATCATAGGATGTAGTATCCATTACGAACTTCAAATACCAAATTTAAATAGTTCCATTTAGATTTCCCGAAACGAAATTTGATTCCGTTAAATAATGATGCTAAAATCATAAAAATACGTAATATCGGGAGGTACTGTTATATGGGGGCTATACGATGACATGGACCTGCATACAAAAATTTTTATTATGGGCTGTAGTACCCATTACGAACTTTAAATTTGAAATAATTCCGGTAAATACTGTCGCTAAAATACCGAAAATCGGCAGGTACCGTTGTAGGGGGCTATACGAAAACGTGGACCGACATGACACATTTATGAACTTAACCTGCCTAATGGTAAACTATGCATGTATGCAACATTTTAGCCTTCTATCTCAATTCGTTCAAAAGATAGCGTGTTTACAATAGGCAGACGGACGACAGACAGACGGACATCGCTGGATCGTCCTAGAATTTTACGCTGATCCAGAATTTATATATTTCGAGGTGTTACAAACGGAATGACAAAGTTAATATTTCCTTCATGGTATGGTGGAGGGTATAAAAAGAGGTAGGGGGAAGACAGATACAAAAGAAAAGATGGGGTCAATGACCTTTTCTCTCTCTCCCTCTTTCTTTCTCGCTCTCTCTTTCCATCTATCTTCATCTTTTTCTCTCCATCGCCCTTTTTCTCACTCCCTCTCCCTTTTCATCTTTTTCTCACTCTCTCCCTCTTTCTCACGAAAAAGAGAAAAACAGTAAGAGGGCGTGGAGGAGAGACAGAGAAAAAAGTTATTGACCCCATGTCAAATGTTCATTGACCTCATGTCAAAAAGTCATTAACCCCATGTCAAGGGGCCTTTGACCCCATGTCAAGGGGTCAATAGGTCAATGACGCATTAACCCCAAATTAGGTAGAAATCGGTTTCGACATAGCTTATAGATCGCATATATATGCTTAATCTAAGACTTATATTTGATACAATGCCATATGGGATATAAAAATTATATTTGATACAATTCCATCTGCTCGAAATACAATTTCCTTCATTAATATATATTCATTCATACATATAAAATCAAACAAATGTTTAATGCACATTGGGATGTAAACAAGAAAATCTAGGTCGCAAATATGTTTCTCAGCGGCCAATGTTAGGATGCTAGTGGGGCACAAAAAAAATCAAAACAAACTAAAGAACACACACAAAATATATTCGATACAAACATCTCTTCACCCATTCCGATTTTTACGTAACAAATGATTTGGAAGTAAAATATGTGTGTATATCCATGTTGGAAAAGATTTATGTTTTCTTGTTACAGTTGCATGAACATCTGTAAATCTGTTTCGTTTCCAATATTACAAATAGGAAACAGCAAAAAAAAAACGGCATCATGGGAAACCTACCAATATTTGTACGTTGAGCAGAAATGTGCTGAAATCCGTTTGCCAACAATAACAACAACAACGACAGCAAACTAATGCTGGATAGATGATAAATTTTCAATTTCATTTTCGATTGAATCAAATTGCATTTGGAATATATTTTCCTCTCGTTTTTTTTTAATTTGAAATTTTTACATCAATTTCACCATGAATTATTTATTTTTTCCACATATTTTAGTTGAAATGCGAATTTTTAATGCTAACACCACTACTACCAGATCACAATATGAGATGGCAATTTATTTTGGGTAAAATGTGTTTTTTTTTTTTGTGGTTGTTGTTTATGCACTTTCTATTTCACGTTGGCTAGCATGGGCTAAATGTATACTCGTTTCCACCTTTTCGAATGGTTGCTAAAAATTCACTGAAATGCGAATTTTATGGCTGTCACTGGGAAGGCATGTTTAGTACGCCATGTGCACTGCAAATTGTCATTTATGTTGGCAACAATATTTAGATTTATTGACACAGTTGCATTAGAAGTGGAAATGTGATCAAAGATCATATATTAAGACTAGATGGTATTACCATCAGAACCAAAATGTGGGTCTAAGTGAAAAAGTTCAGTAAATGTATATTATTATGTTTCAATTTTCGATTTATGCATGTCAGTCCGTCTGTCTGTCTTTTTATGTATTTTTGTGAACGAAATGCAGGTCATATTTATTATCCAATTGATATGCAATTTTTTAAACAATATGTTTTTGGTCTAAGGACGGACCCTATTGAAATTGGTGAGAATTGGTTCAAAGTTAGACATAGCTCCCATATATACACCACATGGCCAATATCAGTCCAAATGACCTGCATTTTGGCACATTCGACTGAATTCAGTCTACATTAAATTTGGAGAAAATTGGTTCAGACATAGCTATAGCTCCGATATATATTTTTTATCTGATTTGGGGTTTTACGTCCCTCACATAACTCAAAAATACCTTTGTCAAATTTTATCGAGATCGGATCAGATGAAGATATCGCTCTCATAAGTACCATTATCCGATTTTAATTTACTGTGCACCAAATGACCAATATCAGCTTAAATCACCTGCATTTTGATAATTTCGGTTTATGGAACGGATAATAGTTGAAGATGGAAATAAGAATATATAAAGTTTAAACGTGAATTTAGGTTAAGACATAGCTGTCTCCAGTTATTATTAGAGGAAGCAAAGAGGGAAATGGCGGGTCTAAAACAACGAACATAAAGCTTGAACATAGCCTGAAGGTTGCCGTAGATGCCAATGATGGCTTAAAGAAATGTTGTATTACTGAACGTCAGCGTTCAACGAGACTTAACATTTAAGGAACTCAAGTCCGAATTGGCTCCTGAGGAGAGAACACATGTGGTAAGAGTTCAAACAAATCTTAAGGTAAAATTTTTGGAGGAGAAAGTAAATCTGCTTTCAGAGCTGTTGGCTGTGAAAATAGTCACAAATTCAAGCAAATACGAAAGAATTTGCATAAAAGACCCCATTACTAAAGTTCAAGTACTAGAGGACGAAAAGAAAATCAGGTCCCGAAGACATGAATAGACAGTTCTCAAGGAAAAGAAAGCAAGATATCCTAGCTACGTGTACACGGATAACGAAAGAAGTCAAGAATGTACTGTTCGTCGGCGCGATGACGACGAAAAAGGATGACTATCTACGACGCCGGAATAAACAGATAACCACCTCTGACGGATATTTAAACTGAAAATGCGAAAATTTGGCGGAAAAAAATTAAAAACACAGTCAAAACGCAAACAATGTCGGAAATAGCATTAAATTTTAGAATAATTTTAGATTTGTTCGAATTGGTCACCTTTGGCACGAATTATGGCCTTCAAACGGCCAATGAAACCGTCACACGCTGCCCGAATGTTGCTCTGCGGTATTTTGGCCAATTCCCGGCGAAGCGCTCAAAATACTCCAGACACAATGGTCCAACGGATTGGTATGCGGAGATTTTGGTGGCCATTGTGCGCTGGAAATGAAGCAAGGAACCTCTTTTTGTAACCATTTTTGGGTGGCACGTGCTGAGTGCGATGGTGCTGAGTCCTGTTGGAATGTCCAAGGTCTGCGGCCGAAATGTTCGTGTGCCCAAGGCTTTAATACACCCTCCAGAAAATTTTCGCGATAATATTCGGCATTTATTCTGATGCCACGGTCGATTAATACGAGCAGAGAGCGACCATCAGCTGTTATGGCGGCCCACACCATCGCCATGGCCGGCACTTGAGTTCTGGTGGCCAATCGGAGGTGCACATTTTCAAATGACCTCTTTGGCAAGTAAACACGATAATTTTGTTTGTTTACAAACTGCTGGACAACGAATATTTTCTCAACTGAGAAAACCAAATTCGGCAGTTCACCACTTTCGGCCAAGCGAAGAAACTCTTTAGCTCTTCTGAATCTATTTTCTTTCCGTTGCGGTGTAAGTTCTGGCACTTTTTTAATCCCGACGAAGTCGCAAATAGACGAACAGATCAATTCTGACCGTTACGTCGTAGATGGCGAGAGTAAATACATCGGATATATATAGCGAAATATATACAATGTGTATATACAAAGGAAAGGGATGTTAGCTAGAATGATTATATCTCAAGAATGGCTGGACCGATTTTGACAAATTTTGTCAGTTCAGAATGCCCTCTTGGCATAAAAGTATAAAATCTACAAATATCGCATAAAAAGATGCCAATAATGATGTTAATATAGATTTTGTATTATTTTGGGAAATTTTTTATTTTTTCATGTCTTTTATCGCATGCGATTTTTTCAATTTTTACAACATTGAAGTGTATACTTTTTCACCTTACAACACAGGTTGGGGTTATTATATACAGATTGCAATTATCGTCGAATCTCATGCAAATTTTCACAAGGGTAGGTTTAGGCTCAGAAGGGCTAGGCCTATTGTTTTCAAATATGTCAGTAATATATTTAGGGGTTGAAATGGACCAAAAACAGAAAAGAATTATTGATCACCCAATTGAAGCCAATCAACGTGCCTGAGAAGAGAGTTAAGGACAGGAAAGAATTCTAGCATTTTGGATGACCATTGGATTATATTTAGCTGTAACATGGCATTTTGGATGACCATTCGATTATATTTAGCTGTAACATGGATTTAGCTGTAATATCGACCACAACAACTAACAACATGACGGAGTGCGTAAATATTGGGCAAATGTCCCTGTTCAAAATGCTATGGGGTAATATCTGGGCAGTGTTCCGTAACATAATTTCAAATGGATTTGGACATAAAGGGGCTTCTAACATACTGTAGTGTTGTAGGGTATCACATGGTCGGCCCCGCCCGGCTATAGCCTTTGTTTATTTTTACTTGTTATTACATATTCCGTAGTTTTCTACTGTTGAATCATCTCTTTAATAGGTGGTGCGATACTGAAGAACTTGTTTAGAACTAAGTAGACACAAATATTTTGGAAAATATTGTCAAAATACTGAATATAACTGTTTGATTCTTACGATGAAAATGATGAAATGATGAATGTATGTATGGAATGTATGAAAATATATATTCTGAACCATCAAAATATTTGGAGGTTTATGTCCTCCGAAAAACTTCCAACACCAATTTTTAACAATTCAGATGAACAGCGAAACCTCTTAAAACACCGAAATTTATATAAGGGCTATATAAATCCAAAAATTATGTTGACAATTTCCGGTCAGAGCGGATTTGGTGTCCAGTATGAAATTTAGACACCAAATCGACTAATAAAGTAGCAAATATAGGTGGTAATTAACTATATTCTATCCTTTCTATCTGATACCTCATATATCAGAAGACTACGATTAATGTAGTCCGACAAATTCCTTTCTGCTTATTGGAAACTGGTGTATTAATTACGTCCTCACATTACTCAACAATTTGATTAGATAAGCAGTACAATTACGAAATGTTACAGAAATTTTAGTTAATTGCTATTAACATTTATTTGCTTCCTTTTTTTGTTGTCATAAATTACGTTTTATGCAGGAATGTAATAGAAAAAAATCACTAACATGATAATATTCCCATAATGTTTCATTACAAGTCTCCAAGGGTGTTTGTTTTTTCCCGCCCACTCTTTCAATTTCGACGAAATATAATATTGGCCAATTTCGATGGCGTCAAAATCAAAGTTTTCTATGGGGACCTCAACGAACATTCCGATTGGTAATTTTGGTTTGTTGTTATTGCTGCTGACACTTGGGTAATTTGATTTGTGTCCAGATAATTATGGTTGTTGATAAATTACAAAAACAAAAATATTTGATGGATCGATTAGTAGCAGCGCAATAAAGATAAAGGAAGTGATTTTTTAATGGGAATTAAATTACAAATGTTTCAATTTGGCGTGAATATAAAGGCCATGAGGAAATAAGAAAAAAAATTATTTTATACTTTTCCATATGAGTGGCGGCGAGTTTCAGTTTAGAGATACTAACATATTCACACATTTAAATCTTGGGTATTTAAACGAAAACTAGTGAAACAGTTGAAGAGTTAAGAAACCGATTTGAAGGGCCCGAACAAATAGGACTTTTAATCTTCTGATTCAATAACCAAAACACAAGTTTCAAACCTTCCACCATAGTATGGAGGGTATATTAAGTTTGTCATTCCGTTTGTAACACCTCGAAATATACATTTTAGATCCCACAAAGTATATATATTCTTGATCAGCATAAAATTCAACGTCGATTTAGCGAAATTGCTCTAACTTCCGAATGATATGAAGTAGGTTGATAAAATTTTACTCAAATGTGTATTATGTCTGCAGGACTTTTGGTACTGAAAATGGGCAAAGTAGGTCCACGTTTTGGAATAGCCCCCATATAACGGTAACCCCCCCCCCATATTCGGTATTTTGATGATTTTAGCGACATTTTTTACCGGAACTATTTCAAATTTGGTATTTGAATTTCGTAATGAATACTACAACCTATGACAGAAAATTTTCTGTGTAGGTCCACGTCTTCGTGTAGCCCCCATATAACGGAACGCCCGATATTCGGTATTTTGATGATTCAAGCGACATTATTTACCGGAATTATTTCAAATTTTGTATGTGAAGTTCGTAATGGATACTACAGCCTATGACAGAAATTTGTCTATGCAGTTCCTCGTCTTTGTTTTGCCCCATATGACGGTACACCCCATATTCGGTATTTTGATGATTTTAGCGACATTATTTACCGGAACTATTTCAAATTTGGTATTTAAATTTCGTAATGAATACTACAGCCTATGACTGAAAATTGTCTGAGCGGGTCCACGTCTTTGTATAGCCCCCATGTAACGGAACCCCCGATATTCAGGACCACATTTTATAACCCCCATGGCACCTACCTATATTTGGTATTTTGATGATTT